GTGTATTTTATAAAAGACTTTAAGCCTTCTTAGCCTGGCCTTGGATTGGTTGAATTTGCGTTAAGTGCAACCTTCCTGGAGGGACTAATTAGCTTGCAAAATATACTGGAGTGGAAGTGTAGAGTAACATAGAAGTCGCAACTGCTTAAGTATAAAATTTGAGTAAATGTAAATGTTACATTCCAGCACTGAGTATCACAAATGAACTTCCAGTCTTTTGTGGGTGAAGGCAGAAATCTCAAAACTTGGACTAATAAAACCAAAACTAAATGTCTAAATGCCTCTAGAGGTAAATGAGGAATTATATTTCATAATATATTTTTAACCATCCATTTATAGAAGTAATATCCATGACAGAGAAATACTGATGTGACTGCAGTCTTACCTCTCCAAACCCTCCTTTCCCCAGTAGTCTGTACTGTCTAAATGTCTGCTTGGTGATTGGCTGCCTTGAAGAGAAAGACCAGGATCAGTTAAACAAGAAAAAACAAGTCTTAAAGAAAACTGAGCTAAATGTGGCACAGTGTCAACAATGATTGCAGCGGAGTGGATTGAGTACAAGCAGATAAACCAGCTACCCAACCAACTTACTGATAATATGTATCTCGTTTCCTCTATTGGGCGTCACACACACGTCAGAACACACACACATACTGACCTCTCCAACATCTTCCACTGGAGGAAACGATCAAAAAACATGCTCTCCTGGTACTGCATGAAGGGATCTCCACTGAGGTACTTGTGTAGGTCTCTAAACGGAGAGGTTAGTCATTATTCCCTAAAAAACATATGCACACATAAACAGGGGCATATTCCAGAGAGGTGTCCAGTATCCTTACTTCTTCCAAACCGTCTTTCGGAGGCTGTAGCGGGCTTCATCTTAAAGCTAGAGTAAAGATATGAGACTAGATGACCTAACACCATATCATGCTAGCATGCTGGGAAGGGGGCTAAATAATGCTCCATAATTAAGCTACATTTTGGTGATGGAAAGACTGGCATGGCCATATTCAAAGGGATCCCTTGACCTCTGACCTCATGATATCTGAATGAAAATGGGTTCTATTGGTTCCCACAAGTCTCCCCTTTGCAAATGTGCCCACTTTATGCTAATCCCATGCAGTTTTGGGCAAAAAACATACATTTGGTGCAAATGTTATTTTCGCCTAGTGTATTTAAATATTTCTGCATACTTGGCTCCATAAACAGTTTTGGAATTGCATAAATTGGGAATGACAAGCTGAGACACATACTTCATGGCACCTCTGCATAAGTCAGTGGCCTGCTTGTGCCCCCCCTCCCCTCAGTCAAAAAAGTCTGGAAACGTCCCTGCACATATCAGCAGAGAGTGTGTGTGTGTGTGGACTTACTCCCTGCAGTCATAGAAGACGTCCCCGCAGGGGTCGATCTCCAGACTCTGGATGCAGCTCTGTTCATGCTTCTGCACGGTGAACACACACTGATTGGACTGAGGAAACACGGATGAAAGAGTAAGAAGAGAGGTTGTTCTGTGTAAAGGTCGTTAATTGTAGTTAGTAGCAGCGGTTACAATCTAGGTTTATTTCTGGGTTTCTGGTAGAAATGGAACGTGTAGTGTGTGTGTGTGAGGTTGTCAGACCTGACTCCTGAGGAATCTCTGAATGATGTAGATGCCAAACTCTCTCCTGTCCTCATCTGATTTGGTCTCAAAGGTTTCCTAGATTGCACATGTACAGACACAGTGTATGAATGCAGGTCAGTTCTTCAAAGGCTTAAAACTGTAAACATGTTCTAAAGACGTATGGAGCCCTTTGTGTTAATCAGATCATCAGACTCTTATATATCTGTCTCAACGTCAAAGACATTCTACACCAAATGTCAAACACACGGCACCCATTACGTCTTTACTGTGATAAGAAGTCTATTTCCGTCTTGTTTTCATTCTTCCTCCGTGCAAATGTCAGTCAACTGCCCACTTTCTCATTTTGTGTTTCACCTTAAATTCAGTTAAAGGTTGTGAAATACACACATTAATGCATGTTACAGTCTTTGCAGCGTGTACCCCAGATTTGCTACTGAATGTATATTATTTGGTGGTTTTTGGTCCAGTATGCAACTTATACAAGTGTCATGTAGAAACTTGAACCCACCAGTGCACATACACTGAGAATAGACTTTACAGTGAAGGAGGAGACGTCTTACAGGAAAACTTTTTGCATATTCATAGATTCTGTTATTTTTAATGAGGTAGAAGGAGTAGACGACTACTTTTTTTTTTCTTTGTTATTGAATAAATGTATCAGTGTTCTCTTACTTACTTCATGCTCATATTATATTACAGACAACATCTGGCTGACACTGTGTGACTGAACTTTATTAAAAAGTATGTCCTGCACTGCCTCTGTGTGTTATGTTTCTGGACTTAACTCTCCACATTTGATGCACAGTATTTAAAAATATTGTTGTTTCGTGTGTGTGTGTGTGTGTGTGTGTGTTCTTAGTCTACCGGAAACAGTCTGCAACAGCAAGCGTTTGACTAAAATGTGCGTCCAGCTTTTAGTTGATCTATGTTTATAACTGTAGAATCAGTCCCTCTAGCAGTTCACAGGATTTTTTTTTAGATTACTTTGGCCTAAAATTGCAATGCAGTGAATGCAATTAAATTGCAGGAGAAAGTAAAACTTGCAAAAATAGGTGCAATTCCTTTTTTTTGTATAATTCATTAAAAATCAAAAGCAACTTGAGAATAAAATTGCACTATTTAGAGGTTCACGTTTATTCATGTTGCACAGTGGTGTAGTGCAGGGTATACGCAGGTATACAGAGTACACACACTGATTTTTCTACAGGGTTCAACAGGGGGGTGTTCTGCAAGCTGATTTTTTTTTTCTAGGATGGGGAAGACATGATATAGTAAGGAGTCAGGAATACACTCGAAATGCATGTGGCTAATGTTCATTTCATAATGATCCTCACTGCCTGAGGTCGAGCAGCAGACTTTTAGTATCAATGAGCAAACACTACTGACATCTCACTATTTGTTACACAGGCCGTTTATTTTTTGTTGGATGGGCTGCTTAAAAAAAAAGTAATTTGGGGACATAAATCAAGAGTATGACGTTGCACACGTCTTCCTCGTCATAACTGGAAACCAGGAAGTGAGTTTGGGAAAATATGCAAGGTTACACAGAATTCAAAGGGTTGGTTGAAGTTGCATTAATTATTGCTACTTCCTGGAGGGACTGAGAAACCCTTTAAATAATTTTGAAGTGTACCAAAGCATCCTGGAGGGAAATGTAGTTCTGCAGATCAGTCCGACTCCGGCAGAAGAGCTGAAACAGTTTCTTGCCAATGGGCTGCTTCACACAGAGACTGTAATAGTCTCGCTCTGACGGAGAAAACAAAACATGATGTGAAATCACACAACAAACTATAACAGACATGTACTGACTCTGATAGCACACTCGTGCACACACCTATGTTCATAGCCAGCTGCCTGCACTGACTGATTTGAGGAAAGCGAAGCATCTCTTTCCATCTCCAGCTCCTGCCTTTGCTCCCTCCACCTGCAACCAGCAGGAACAGGACAGAGGAAATAAAACTATTTTAGGCTGCAATGTTATGAAAACAAACTATGCAAAGAGATGATGAATAACTCAGACTGACAGTCTGTCAGCACTGTGCCACAGACGAGTGCACGTATGTGCACGCCTAACCTGGCAGGTTTCAGACAATGGTATGCTCCACTACAGTGAATGAACTATAAATAGCTGTGGGGACAGGTAAGCAAAGCCTGTGGGACCACATTACTCTGCAACTTACTTTCAAACATTAAATGGCCATGCTGTCATTTGAAGGTCACACCTCAATTTGGCCAAAGCACATTTGTATTTCTACTCAAATGAAGCACAATATGATCCTTTCAGAGAGGATTCAATATTTCATTGAATGAGAATGTATGTGTTTCTGATCTCTAAATGAGCTTTCTGCTCAGTTTTTGTTGTTGTTTGTTTGTTGGATATTCCCAGTGACTGAGCCCAGACTTGGTGTGGATAAATAAAAGAGGCAGCCCATCAATCAGCATTCTTGACTAATCTGTGATCAGTTTCATCATTCCTCATCCTCACACCACCATGTTGTTCTGGGTAGTCACTGTCCTTGCATCACCCAATCAAGATTCGACCGGACGAATGGCTTCCACACAGATCCTCGCAGAGATTACAGTATGTTATGAGGTGTGAGAGAAAAAGCTGCAACTTCAAGTCTAAAACATCTGTGTGTTCTTCTTCTATATGCAGCAAATGTTAAAATTAGCCTCTTGTTTGCTCTAAAAGTGGAACCATGAATGCATTCATGATAAATAATAAACAATAACAACAGCAACTGAGAAATGAAGTTTTACAAACACTTCTGAGGTACAATATGAACGAGTCTTACCTTCTCTGGCTTTAATAAGAGCACTATTTGCTACCATGCTTTCAATCTCCATTTAGGAGTGTGTGTTTGCTCCACAAGTTGTCCTAGTCTATTTGTCCAAAGCTGCGGCACATCCAGCGTTCATGCACTGACTGTCATAAAACCAGAGCTCATCACAGAGCCACAGTAAACACTAACAGCAGTCCAGTCGGTTGTGTTGAGATAAACAGGTGTGCCTAACCTGCAGTCCCTGTGAGTCACTGATGAATAATGATGTGGCAGAGTACTCCAACAGCAGGACACTCCCTCGTCACAGAGGCGGGACTGCAGAGTGTGAGGATATAACCCAGATCCCAGTTTCATCATCTACGTTCAGGTCTATTCATAGAAAACATGATTCACTTTGGACAAACTGTGCTGGTGTCCATGTAGGTCTACGTCATCAGTAGTACTCAGATCTCTCACCTAAAGAGCCCCTCCAGACTCATATTAAGACATATATACAAATAGTCTGCATAGAACAACACTGTAATGTGAAAAAAGGATAATTAAAAGAAGTAATTTAAAGTATAATTCAATTCCAGAAACTATGAATATGCAAATCTTCATTTCTAAAGTTTCCTAGCTGGACTCAAGAGGTCTCCCCCTTCACTGTAAAGTCCATCCTCAGTGTCTGTGCTCTGCTGGGTCAGTGTGCAGATTGTCGTTTTGAAATGAGAAAACCAAAATCATTATTTTTTTTTTGTTTTCAACAGAAAAACGGAAAAAAACAAGAAAAAACGACCCATTTTTAGTTTTTGTCTGTTTGTTTTTTGTGTCAGTGTGTTTTCTGATTTTGGTTTTCTCCTTTCAAAACAGAAATCAGGATTTGTGATGTCACAAATCATGCTCGTAGGCCCCGCCCCTTAAAATCAGATTTTCCGATGCTAGTTCTAGATAGATTCTCAATTAAACCGGTTTTCCAAATAAGCTTGTCATCAATGGTTTTATTTTGAAGAAGGAAGCTACTTCAGAAAATAACAATAACTAAAAAGCTATGGGACTGTAGGATGAACCAGACAGGTGAGGTTATGCTCAGGGAAAGGAAACAGGCAGTCAATGCAGCTAGAATGACATGAATGTGTATTTCTATTTTGTTTCCTTATGTACCTAGCAACGCACTTAATGCCGCATGGACAGTGTAATTTAGAGAAAGGCACCAGGCGACAGGGATAGGTCAGGATGAGGAGAGATCAGAGGTGCAGGTTTATTTCTTCTGTTGCATTGCTGTATCCTGGCTGAAGTTATGAATTTACTGGACTTTTTGTGTGATTTGAATAATTGTATATTTGTATATTTGTATTTGTATATGTGTATATTTTGAATGCACCAACTGCACCTGGAGGTCACATTCCTCGTAAGGCGTAAAAAACCTACTTGGCAATAACACAGAACTTCTTGATTCTGATTCTGATTCTGATTAAATGTACAGAAATACAGTAAAATCCAAGGTGGTGATCCGTTTGTGTACAGACAGATACAGTCTGTGTGCAGGAGATTACACACTGGAGCTTTGATTTTATTTTTATCTTTATGCGATGTAATATGCAGACTTGGGGAGTAATGGATTACATGTATGTAGTTACGTAATCAGGATATAAAATAATAGGTAACTGTAATAATTGTGAGTAATTGTAAACAAACAAACAAATTGTGTTGATTCTGAGCAATGAAAACTTTCTTAAAATAAGTATTTTGGTTACTTTATTGAGCTTTAGTTTCCCAGAAACAAGTTTATTTTTATTTTACCTTCTTGACATTCCTTTACTGCAGTGTAATACAGAGCAAAATATCCTTCATGTTAAAACAGACTCAAGTATTTTTCCATCTGTGTCAGTTTACAGTATAAATATTGTTTGGTATTCAGTGTGTGTATTATGTCTATTGAACATCTTCACTGTTTGCAGCAGATTTATTGCTGTCAGTGCGGGAACAGACACAGATATATTCTGACTCTTGTCCTGCAGTTCAAAACTCCATAAGGAAAATTACACATTTTAGAGCTATTTAAGTAAAAGGTGAAGTTGTATGTTCTTGTGTTCATTTGTTAGGATGTTTCAGGGCTTCAGGTGTCAGGCTGAGCTCCAGTACACCTTATAGTTAAACTGAAGTGCAGGTTAATTAGATCAGTAAACAAAAAGCAACATTCATTTCTGCCCACTGGAGTTAGTTAGTATGTACAAAAACTTTCATGGCCAAAAAATTGCAGTGCAGGTGGATCTTTAAATTCTGCATGATTGGATTTATTTGGTTCTTATGTCACACTCACATAAATACACAGAAACATTCAGACATACGATGGTTATTTACCTGTGTGCGGGAGATTCTGCAGGTGTAATCCTGACACCTGGTGGACAGATGAAACCACTGCAGCTCATTCAATCAGCTGTTCTGTGTGTTTGTGAGGTTCCCTGAAGGCATCGACCAAAACCTGCCTCGTGGTGGAGTGCTGGAGCTAACAAACACACGAGTGAACAGGCTACTGAGCTTCTGTCACACACACACACAGACACACACACACACACACACAGTTTGTGTCACTGTGACACTGCTTACTTCCCTGGACACTATTTTGCCCATTCCTGTACAGCTCTTTACTCATTATTTAAATATTGGACCATAGTGTACATATTGTCTCTGTATTTTATCTTTATTTATCTTTTTCTATGTTTAATTGTTATGAACCATCTTACTTGGCAATAAACCTGATTCTGATTTTCTATGATCTAATGTATGTATCAGTCTCTCTTCAGCCTTTGAAGCCTGATACATTAAAAATAGTGCTTATTGGGCCAATTTACAAAATTAAAATCCACGTATATGACATTTTTTTCTGCATCTTATTTGATATTTCAGGCAAATATGGCGATTTATTCATCATACCTTTTATTTTATAAACAAAAACCAATGTTGTTTTCGACATTTGGAACATTTCAAGTGGTTTGGTTCTTTAATCAAACATCAAACTTTTTCAAAAGAGTTTGAATTTGTCAGTATAACGTACAGATACAGCAGACATAATAGCCATTGCAACATCCAAGTAGTTATCTAAGAGCATGTTGTATATATAAAAAACATACAAATATCTACATTTTCACTCTAAATATATCTTTAAATGGTTTCATTAAATAATCTTTAAGTGTAAATGACATTGCGGTAGGCATAATATTTGGATTTACAGATAAAGTGTTTGTTACACACATTTTCAACATAATTTTACTATCAAATAAAGTTAAAAATATTAAATTATTATAAGTTGCTTCAATACTGAATTATTTGTAACAATAGCAATATTATTCTTACTGTAACTTTTTTTTAAATAGCAATAACTTTCTGCCAAAACCTTGAGAATCACAACCTGGATGTGGCCCTCAGAGGCCTGTTACTGTCTGCAGTGTACGAATAATCCACCAGAGGGCAGAAGACGGGTGTTAGACTGGATGCAACAGGTTTTGCAGGAAAGTCTTGATCAGAGTTCTCAAAGTCCAAACATACGATACAGCTGGTGTTATTGTTCCGTTTTTGTGAAACTGTACTTTTCCTTTTTAGTGACTGGCTCATGATGTGGCAGCGGACACCAACACAGACCAGGAACAAGACTGAGTCACAACCATCCTGCTCTTGTTTGAGAGCAGATATCTATCTATAAATGTCTGCATTAATATATTATTATCTTTAATGTTGCCTTTTTTTAATGGGTTTTAATTAGTTTATCTTATCTTATCGTATCTTTCTAAAATACTTCTTTCTCACAGTTTTACACTTACTAACATGAGCTCTCACCCTGTTTTTGTCCTGTAGAAAGAGAAAGTGTGCAGGAGGAAGAGGAGAAGAGGCCAAATGTACATTAAGTATGTGTCTCAGCTTTGCATGTATTTCCAGTTTTTGCAATTCCAACTCTGTTTATGGACTCCAGTATACAGAAATATTCAAATACACTAAAATAACACATTTGCATGTAAAAACTGCAAATAAGTTAACTAAAAAAAAGTTAACAGAGCCCATTAAGTGGCCATAGAACCCATTTTCATTCAGATATATTGAGGTGAAGGGATCCCTTTGAAAGTGGCCATGACAGTTTTTCCATCGTTAATTATCCCCCTTCCTGACGTGCTAGCATGACATGGTTGGTACATCTAGTTTCATATGATATCTGTAACTCTGAAACACAGTGGGGCGTTAAAGAAGTAAGGATAATGTCAGGACCATGTCAAAGTTTGGTGAAATAGTTTTCTAAAGCGGGGATATTCCCAAACCTTTTCTCGTCAAGAAGGAAAAGGTCCAGCAGAGAAAACTATGCAAGATAAATAATGAATAAAGATGAATCAAATTTGGAAACTTCATGTAAAAATAGAAACTGTGGTTTGCATTTGAACAGCATTGAGCGGCTGACTGTCTGCAGGCAGTATCAGTGTCCATTTCATGTGTGAATGTAAACACCAACAGATCAGCTGGTTATTTCTGCTTTTAACAAAAGCCAGAAAAAGAGACAAAATGTGCTTTTAATCAGAAACAAGTTCTCACTGAAATTTGGGAGCCGTGTCGAACCGATGATTGGTCACTTTAACGCTTGTAGTTTCCTCACAGTGCCTGAAAACAATCGGGTCCCTGTCTGTCCTGAGTTCTGAGCGAACGTAGGCCTAAATGCACTCTGCAACTGATCCTTTAGAAAGAGAATTATATCACTGGAACTTTAATCAGCTCTTATTTGAGCTAAAAGCCTGAAATAAACACATCATATTTTGTGAGAAGTCACAGCAATAAGTTACAATAAGAAGACAGATAAAAAGAATCATATAAAAGGAGTAAAATATTGAAAGTAGTTCCCAATCTGGGGGTCGGGACCCAACCAGGGGTCGCAGGATGAATTTTCAGGGTCAAACGGCAGATAAAACATATTTTTAAATGACTTTTTCCCTATTTTTGTCACTGTGTTGAATTATTTCACCTCTTCAGGCCACCATTTGTGACACAGAGAAGGAACGGCACATGCAGGAGGGCAGAATAGAGAAGCTTGGTCATTGAGCCATACATCAGTAAACTTCTTCTCACTGCAACAAACTGCATTTGCAGCAATTATTTTTTACTTCCTCCCACATTTTCATTGCAAAAAATAAACAAAAAATCTTACAACAGGCAATCTTTTAGAAGGCTGCTGTGACATTAGACATTTTAGGCCTCATCAATCTAAAA